TTCCTCGCACAGGATTCGAACCTGTCTCGCGTCATATACGCTCATTAGCCACTCGTGCTATATGCGATTCATTCTCTTCTCTTTTCTTTCGTTCATCATCCTTGAAACCCATCAAACACATGAACATCAACCTGACTCTCAGCCATGCACATGTCTCGAAGAGACGAGACGAAGACAACGAAGAACATGTTGAAGAAAAAAAAGATCGTTGAATTGAAATAGGAATTGATCGTTGAGCTTATCATGTTGATTGAATGATTGATGATCGCATCCACTTTGAGCCTTACAGATGAAACAACATGAAAGTCTTTCAGAAAATTTTTTTTCAAAAAAATCTTTTCTTCTCTTGCTCAATCTTCTAATCATTGAAAATCGATCGGTTTGGTTAGAAAAAGGAGTGTTTTCTTTTGAAAATACTTTTGCCGATTGAATTTGTCAATTTAAATTAACATTAGGAAAAGGTTAGATTTTCACTTTACGTAGTTAATCAAAAGAGTTGATAGTTTTCTTCGAACACGACATGTCTGGCTTGTTCGTCATCTCTCTCTCTCTTTCTCTTTCACATGGCGCGCGAAAAACAATAAGACACGTTGAACAGACTGTTCTTCTGACGATACAAGAAAGAAACGTCTTAGAGCGGTTGATCTTTCGTTGATCGATTATTTCGAAATATTTCACTTTTAGATTACTCTTATCGATACTAATCAACTTTGATCAATCCGTTTATTGATCTTCATCAAGCGAGTATATTCGACCTTTCGATTGCTGAATATTTGCACAGAAATGAAGAATGCGTTGAAAATCGGTGTTGATGTGTCTACGTACGCATCATTGGAGTCATTAAAAGATCCCGGCGTAATAGGTGAGATCTCGAAGAAAGTCATCGATATTTTAGAGAAAAAGGGACAGACAGCACGTTTGAGTGCTGTTGAGAAAGCTAGTATAAACGCTGTTTCTCTTCTTTTGTCGAAAAAGAAACCAAGAACAAGTACATTTCTATCCGTTTATTTAACAACAAACGTATTAGAATCGTTATGCGACACAGTTGTGCCTACCGTTTCATCTGATGACAACGGTATTGAAAGTGACAATCATGAAAGTCAAAACTCGTCATCTGATTCTCATAATCGACAAATTTCCTTTTCGATGCGCAATGAAGTAATTCAAGTAGATGCGACGTTTGAATATTTGTTTGATTATTTCAAATATTCACTTTCAAAAAATAGTGGATCTATGAACCTTGAGAAAATTGTCTACGATATATGTACTTACATATGCTTTTCTCGAGCTCAAATGTTCGGTACATGTTCGTGAGCTGCGCAAAGAAATAAGTTTACAAATAAGTCATATCGTTCAATCAGCATGCGTTCATGCCGGCGGTAAAAGTGTCATCGGTATTTTACGTCCGATTAGTAATTTTTCTTTCATTTTCAAGTCTATCAAGTCGTTAACGGAGGTACAATCAATGAAAGAGTTTGCACAATATCGAAATAAAGATGATTTAAGTCCTATTCTATTGATTCGTGAAACTATTGAAGAGACAGATGTCTTTCAATTTTATCCTTGTTCAAACGTGGTAGAAATAACGCTTAATAATGTGTTTGTTAAGAAAACCTTATCTTCGTTTGACATATTAGGGACACTAGATATCGACGAAATTTCTAATCTTGTTAGAAGATGCGCTTTGATATATGATCTCAAATTAGACACTTCAGTTTTTGACGAAGCACTCAAAACGAAAATACTATTTGGCTGTGCGTCTTCTACTTGCAATTCCTGTGTATTAACAGTAGCTACAAAAGCTGAACGGGTTGATGAAGCGTGCAGTGATGTTGATCAAACGCTTGCTAATGACTCTCCTACTTTCAGTGAAGAAGAAATCGATGCTATTGTTGGTCGGACGTATACTACACGAGGCGTTAAACGCTCTTATGAAGAAGATCCTATTGTAGTTGAACCAAATAGAAACATGTATCGTCACAACAAAATGATGAAAGATAAAAGAGATTTACTACATTTGAAAGACACACATTATCTTACAGATTCTGCTTTAAAAGCCATTGTTCAATACGTTCAAAGTAAAAAGAAACTTTTTTCTATCAAAGAAATAGAGCGACTTAGGAAACGAACAAACAGTAAATTTCCTATCATACATACTAAAACGAGTGCGTATGTTAGATTTGAATATGCTGTACGTGCAGCTATATTTGTTGCGCGAAAATACGAACATAAACTCGATCAATTCGATATGCTTAACATCCGTTTCAACATGGATGGTACTTTGATAGGAAATAAACATATAGTAGCAATATCTATCAATTGTATCGAGGGCGGTAATCAATGCCAAGCCGCTAAGAATCTAATCCCACTAGGTCTTTTTGAAGTACAAAAAGAGAATACAGAGTTACTGCGTCAGACTTTACCATTAGAATTTGTAAATGACATTAAATCTGTGAAATATATTTCTATAGGAGCAAAAAATATTAGTACACGTGTCCGACTAGGTGGTGATCTGATGAACGCAGTTTATGTCTACGGACTCGCTGGATTCAGCTCTAATTATCCATGTATTTTTTGTACACAACATAAAGATGATCTTCATGTAACTGATGACACAGAGTACGACAAAACTGTCACAGAAGGAAAAGGAAAGAATAAGCAAACGGTTACTATCCATGTAGGTTCTACTTCGTATCATGATTCGACTAAACGAGCGCGTTCTCTTGCTGAACAAACCTTGTGTTTGGCGAAGAATACTAATGAATTAGGTTACAAATGCGAACCTCTTTTCGGAGATCTTTTCGATTATCAGGATTATTGTGTGGATACTCTTCACATGAAACTAAGAGTTTTTGACGTTATCCTGAAAGACATTTTAACTTACGCTTCTCGTACTGGTAAATATGGAGCTGAACACGTAGCTATCATCGAGCGTAAAATAAAGATTCTGAATCAACACTGCGAAAGAACTGTAGGCAAACGTTTTTTCTTTCAAATCGAAACGGATGATAAAAATAAAACGATTTCTTCTCACGGCAAACTATCAGGCCATCTTCAAGATCTTTTCTTTGTTGACAGCTTTCCTTATGACGATATTCTCAATGATGACATTGCCAAGTCTGCTCGTATAGTTGTTAATAAATTTAAGGAAATTCTTGTTGAAGTTAAACATACTTCTATGCGAAGAAAAGGTGTTCTCAAACGTTTATCGCTTGAGTTCGTTAAAGAATTTCGCCAAAGTGGTCTTCGAACGACTGTTACGCCTTATATTCATATAATCGGTAATCATCTATTTGAATTCGATGAATTCAATAATCTTGGAGATTACAATATGCAAGGCGTCGAAAAAAATAATGATCTACTCTCGCGTTTGTATTTCTCCTCTACAAATCCAGCGAAAAATCCGCTTCTTACTATGCTTCAAAAACTGTTTCGAATGCTTGAGATGAACTTTCAAGATGAGAAAGAGAGAGAAGCAATGGCTCGATTTGCTCGTACAGGTGTATACGATTTCGCTGAAGAAGATTCAAGTGAATCTGAATCTCGTTCTGAAGATCATAGCTCTTCTCTGAGTGAAAACGAAGGTGCCGATGAACAAAGTGAAAGTGAATCGGAGGAAACGATATCCACATCGAAAAGAGGTGTCGTAGATGAAGTCGTAGATGAAGTCGATGACGAAATAGATTCAGAAAAGTCAGAGGTCTGGGCACCAGAAAAACGATTTCCTATCAAAGTTGCACCTTGTTCTCAAAATCGATTTAAAAGCTTTCGAAGATCGTAAAAAAAGTTTTCGCAGAAAAAAAAGTAAATCCTCATATTGTTTGTTGTAAATATTTCCAAGTGAGAAAGTCCGTATCTCTTTTTTCATGTATTTTCTAGATATGAATCATTGTTTCATTGATAACTTCTGCGTTGCAAGTATTTCTTCTCATTGCGACCAGCGCTGTGGTCAACAATTTCATATTCCGTTTGATATTCCTATATATGACGGTCATATCCATCTTAATCAGACCATCTCTAAAACTCAATCAAATCTTCTTTCCATGAGAGTAACTCCTCCTATTCGACAATTCTACTTTATAAACAACAACCACAAACCTGACGAATGGTTTGTTCCAAATCCTTCTCCAGATCCCTCCCATATCCATATACATCCAACCATTGGCATCCATCCTAAATACTTTACACCAACATCCTTATACCAAACTTTAGATAATCTAAGAACGTATCTAGAGGTTTCTCGCTACAACGGAAGCCATGAAAACAAAATCGTTGCTGTGGGTGAGTGCGGTTTGGATGAGACCAGCAACAGAAGCATCGAGCATCAGATATTTGTTCTTGAAAAACAAATAGATCTCGCCATACAATTTGATCTCCCGATCGTTCTTCACTGTCGTGGAAACTATCTGTATGAGAAATTGTTCGACTGTCTAAAACGTCGAATCTCCGATAAAAATCATCGACTTCATTGGCATTGTATTAATAACAATGCAAATCTCTATATTGTTGATTTATTTTTAAATCAATTTCCTAATTCTTACATCGGTCTAAATGGATCAGTTACCTATGAAACTAATTTCGAAAATTCATTACTGTTTAAGAATTGGCTCATTGATCGCTCATCTTTTCTTCCAGATCGATTAATACTTGAAACCGATTTCCCTTATCTCTCACCTCGAAACCTATACGGTACATATGATCCATCTTGTGCTCTGATAGCCACAGCTGAATACCTATCAAAAACTGTCAATGATCCTAATCAAAGTACTCTCTCATATCTCCAATTCTCTAACAGAAATATTAAGACAGTATATGCGCTGTAAATACCTTTTCCCACTTTTGACATAACAATCAGGTTCATTTGTTTTATTGCTTTCCATTTGCAGATAATTTGTAGAGCATGTCCATATATTATGTTATTAGCATGTGAATGTATATCTGCTGTTTGTTGCCGTTTTGCAATTTATTATTTGAGAGCAGTTATCTCTCTCGTCTGTGGTACGGGCAGAAGATTATTTGCTTCTCTCTTTTCATGTTTTCTCATTTCTGACAAGTTATTCATATAGAATATGAACTTATGGATCGATTTGCTCATATTTAAGAAGCGTGTCTGGTGAGAAGAACCACGTCGAACTATCATCTCTTATCAACCGCATGAATCTATTTATTCATCTTATTCAATTCTCTTTACATATTTATTATCTTTGTGTCTATTTCAGTTTGATTATCAACCGACACACATTCATCATCAACAGCTGAAATGGCACGAGCACTCAATACATTATTTATTCTTGCGCGTTTTGAATTCTTTTCTGTGTTGTTTCGTTGTGATGTAACCATATTGATACGATGGGTCTTCATTACTTTTCCATCTATGTTTCACTGTTATGGAAGACTGTTGTGACGCTTGGTCCTTTGATGTGTGTTCAATAAGAACGAGATCAATTATCAGAAGATGTCTTTTGTTCTCATGTATTTCTCATCATTACGAATAAACATGGTGACTACTAATTGATAAAATCTATTTCACACTGTCAATAGAGAAAAGAGAGTTTTGATTCAATAGAAAAAGAATTTCGATGATATTATTGCTGAATATCGCTTGGTTGTTGTTCATGTGTTTGATGGATTTCAAGGATGATGAACGAAAGAAAAGAGAAGAGAATGAATCGCATATAGCACGAGTGGCTAATGAGCGTATATGACGCGAGACAGGTTCGAATCCTGTGCGAGGAAATTTTT